CCCTCCCCACGCAGGTCTGGTTCAAGAACCGCCGAGCCAAGTGGAGAAAGCGGGAACGGAACCAGCAGATGGACCTGTGCAAGAACGGCTACGTGCCGCAGTTCAGCGGGCTGATGCAGCCCTACGACGACATGTACGCCGGCTACCCCTACAACAACTGGGCCACCAAGAGCCTCACCCCGGCGCCGCTCTCCACCAAGAGCTTCACCTTCTTCAACTCCATGAGCCCCCTGTCCTCGCAGTCCATGTTCTCGGCGCCCAGCAGCATCCCCTCCATGAACATGCCCTCCAGTATGGGCCACTCGGCCGTGCCGGGCATGGCCAACTCCGGCCTCAACAACATCAACAACATCAGCGGCTCCTCGCTCAACTCGGCCATGTCCTCGCCGGCCTGTCCCTACGGGCCACCGGGCTCGCCCTACAGCGTCTACCGGGACACTTGCAACTCCAGCTTAGCCAGCCTCAGACTGAAATCAAAGCAGCACTCCAGTTTCGGCTACAGCAGTTTGCAAAGCCCCGGCTCTAGTCTAAACGCCTGTCAGTACAACAGTTGACGGACTTGACACAAACCACCTCCGACAAAGCACCGCCGACAAAGCAAAGCAGAAGCAAAGCGACGTTTCACGGAAAAGACAAAAAAAAAAAAATAAAATTAAACCCCATGACGATTAAAAGCAAACCCCAAGCAAGCGAAAGAGGGAAAAAAAAATTAAAATAAAATAAAACAAAGCACCACCCCCAAAACAAACCAAAACCCAAAAACAAAAGCCCCAAAAGCTCCGCGGACTTCGATTGTCTAGGAAAAAAAAAAATATTTCAACCTAATGATGCAACCAACAAAACAGCGCTTTAAAAATGTACAAAATTAAAAATAGTAATAATAATAATAATAATAATAATAATAATAATAATAATAATAATAATAACCACCCCATCGAAAAACGTAAACGGACCAGAAAACTTTTGCAAGAGACACCGAAATCTGGTACATGGATGAGTTGCAATTTTTTTTCTCTGGATTATGCGGGTTGTATGTGTTTACTTGAACTTGCACAGGAGTCGGTAAGGCGGCCGCTGCCCCACGGGGAGGGCGGCAGGAGGGGACGCCTCGGTGGTAAGAGCTGGTGGGACGGTTCTTGGCCGCTTGTCGCACGGGAAGAGTTTGGTTAATGTTTACCACTGAGAAACAGAATCACACTCGGAAAAAAAAAAAAAAAAAAAAAAAAGACAAAAAAAAAAAAAGGTTGGGGAGGGAGAGGGGAGGAAAAAAAATATAAATCGCAGAGTACAATCTGCGGGGAAAAATGGTTAAAATATTAGGTATGAAACTATTAAAAATAATAATGACAAGGGTCAACCACTTATATAAGGTTATATTTATATCTACAGTTGCATTGTGCCGGATCATTGTCCTTGGCCGTTGAATAAACTGTTTTTAAAATGCATGATTCTTGATGTTTTTTCTTTAGTTGGAAGCTATAATCCAGTCATTCCTGATACTAAGCAGCTCAAGGTTCCTACCTCTTCATCCTTTCCAAAAGACTGCAGTATCCCCGGCTGTGAGAGAGCACAGAAACCCTTCAGTGATGCGAAAATCGTTCATCTGTTTCCCCATCCAAAGTCTTATCCTGATAATGAAATTATCATTCATCTTCATTTATATGCAGGGGGTCGTTTTTTCTCTTTAAAAAGTAAAACCGAAAACCAACCCCCTTTCAGAGAGTCTAGGAAAAAAAAAAAAAAAAAAAGAAAAAAAAGACGAAAAATGGTCTGTTATGAAGTGATTTCAGATACTGCATCTCTGCTAGAGAAACAGCGAGCCTCGGCGTCCGGAAAGGTTCTTAGCAAAGCTGAAAGCGTTCCTTGCTTTTCTAAATGTGAAGGAAAAACAAGGAA